ACCTCTGCTCTTGATACAAAATGTGAGAGACTTCCAGTGGTATAACTGCCAGACCTACCTCAAATGACATTTCATACAAACTTCCATGTAAAATTCGTCCATCAGTTCTTAACATCACGATTAAACACTCCTCCATTTTAACTATGAAAGAAGGAAATTATACTAATTGGTATACAGTTAAGATACCAAATATTCAAGCTGCGCCCTCTACTTTAACGTCCACCATACATTTCCAGGGTTCAGGCAACCTTAGTTTTGAACGTGTAGGTCCCTCGTCGGCCACACAATGCTAATCTGGATTTCATCGCGCTTCAAGCTTTTTTTTTTTTTGCGTACGCCTAAGTACTTCAATTTCTCTAGCCACTAAATAGTCATAAACTCAACTGAACACAGTATGGCGCGGGAGTTTGAAAGCGTCAATGCTTTACACACGTATTCTGAGACGGCCGACCGAAACACAGACCATACTGCGGTTCTTCCCAGGCCCCAACACCTAAAGGCAAATGCAGTGCTTGTTTTTCGATTTCGTAAAGATCGCTTTTTTTCAGATCCTTTCCCACTCATCACTCTACCATCAGACACCATTTAGCATACCGACAGCGTCGTTAGATATCCGCAAAGAGGACGACCTAAATTCGCTTCGATATTTGATGTATCTCCGCAGATTAAGATAACAGCAATCGCAACAGTTCGGCACAGACCCTCTCCTGCGCCAAATACCTCCACTTGATGGGGCAGGAATACTGTCAAGACATTAAAACGGGTCAGTAGACTTACTGGAAAATATAATCCCGATTTCTTTCGGGCAATACGCAACAGAGCCGACCGTGCAAACTAAGGCAAGGGTGCCTTAGTTTGTTCGAATCCAACCAAAGGCATGGAGTGCGCGCGCTTGTCCGTTCGCCCGTACATTTAGACTTTGCGACGGGGTTTCCCCGTCCAAGGATTCCTTAAGGCTCCTTCGGACGGGTGAAAATTCGGGGGCACCCACCTGCACAGCCAATCTTCAACAATCCACAAATTTCGGGTCAATTAAAGCAGACTATAGGCCCCACCTTCGATCTATTTTGCATAACCCCAAAGTCCTCTACGACGAAATTTACCAAGTTTCAAAACGTTGCCATGCAAACACCACGCAAAGGTGGAAAGCACGCTTGAATTACTAGAACAAACCTTGCAAATCTGTAACAAATTTCGGCGCAGAAATGAAATTATAAAATCTTCTTAAAACCGAATGGCTCGGCTTTCATCTGCACATTCGAAAAACCAACCTGCTCACAAGATTCCATACTCTGCCATGAACGTCCAAATTTTCCTGAAATTATAAAAGGGAGCTCGGCCACTTTGCATTCGGTACTTGCCAGACAAACGCTGTTGCATTTATGGGCTCTTTTGCTGCGCTCAACACTTCAAATAGGTTAAAGGATAATATAAAAGGAACTGGAAATAAATAATTCAATATCAGATAGAAAATTCTTTAATTACAGTCGCTGGAATGTCTGTCCACTTGTAACTCACCATTTGTGGTCTTAGCAATTAAATTAGACCATGCACAGACTAACCCGCAGCAATGAAATTAAATAAAAGACCAAGGATTACATAAAAATGAAATGGTCCAAAGAGAAAACCCCTCAAAAGGACACTCCAGCCACACTACTCATTCAACAAGAATCCTGGAGAAACACAACCCTTACCTAAATCATCTCCCTAAAATTTTTAATGCAGAGGAAACTCGAGGAATTAAATATGTAAGGATGGGCCATAAAACCCGGCCTTCAATGATCAATCATTCTTCCCCTTTGGATTAACCCTTCACTGAAATGTAGGACCTCATAAGTCTCTTGGTTCCACGACAAACTGACCCTGGTGATGAAATCTTAATGTATGGCCTCAATCACATAGGATATGTGGGGCTGATTCGTCATCTTGGGTCATCTGTCAGTCTGTTTGCAAAGGTGTCCCTTTAGGTGCCAGTGTCCATAAGTAATCCTACCACCCATCTTAACTGATTTAATTTCAACAGGCTCTTCGTTCTGAAAGAGGGTCCCGATATATCCCTTTGCCTGTTTGGGTCCAATTCTGGATTCAATTTTTTATTCATATCTGTCCAGTCCCTGATCCCTTTCTTGGCAACTCCAATTGAGATGCCACAAGCTGGTTCAGATCCTAGAAATACAAGATTCTTTGGTTATAGAGAAACATCTGATTAAATGTAGGATACAGGAAAATCTAACAAGATACAAAGAGAAAAATTTTCTCTTCTGAGAATTCTGGTTTCAAAAGTGGATCAAACAATTCAAGATTACTGTACTTACGCTGCAGCTTCTGATTAAATTTTTATCTAATTTTGTGCAATGAAATGAATTTTAAACCTTAAGAGAATGGAACCCACAGCCAAAACATACTAATTCACTTTGCTGTTTCATATTACTGCATTTATTCAATTTCTGCAGACAAGTTTTATAGTAAAAATTGTACAAGATTGCAGTAACTGTTCTAATGATCCTACTACAAAATCTCACTTGGACAATTTGCATTCAAAGCACCCAACATGCACAGAAAAATGTCGCACGGAATAAAGG